GATCACAGATGGCTAGGGCCCTTTAAAATCATTAAATGCATTTCAGAAGTAGCTTACGAGCTTGAATTACCCCTCAGTATGCACAGGTTACACCCGGTATTCCATATTTCAAGATTAAGAGAGTATAAAGCTGATACAATAGCAGGACGCAAACAACCGCCACCACCACCAATTGAATTAGACGGAGAAGAAGAGTACGAAGTTGAATCTATTCTAGATAGAAGAACAAGAAGAAAGACTGAAGAATTTTTAGTTAGTTGGAAAGGTTATGGGAGAGAACATGATTCATGGGAACCGTTAAGAAATTTGAAAAACGCAAAAGAGTTAGTAGAAGCATTTAAAATTAAATATCCAGAGGCAGCAAAAAACTATAGGACACGGAGAAGGATGTGAGGGCCAAGCTTTTTCCCAAGTGGTTTTTTAACGCTGGTCCGTGGGAAGGGCGCAGGGCAATTCATTATAAGCCTGGGCGTTAAAAGGGGGATACTGTTATGATCCGTAGATGTCACGAGATCAGTACTTACATGTCACGGGTCGCGAGAATATCTCCGTCCCACAGTTGTACAGCGTTGAGCTTTTTCCCTCATACTGCAATCTTAGTTATCATCGCAAGAGTTCTGTTGCACTCTGTATAGTGCTGTCCGTAACACGGGCCTTCCTCTATCCCTTCAACTTATGCCCACGATTGTTGTCACAGACTCCAATCTCCACTCACCAGCCTGGAATCCGCTACACAACAACACGAACGATAAGAAAGCCGAAGACCTCATTGACTTAATGTCAAAATGGGATCTTCAACTTCGATCACCCACAGGAGAGCCCACTTATGGTTTGAGATCCACAACCACAAGGGGCACCACCATCGATCTGGTGTGGGTCAATGAACAGCTTGAAAATGTTATCCGAGCCTGCTTCGTCGACTCAGAAGACATCACTAATCATTTTTCAGACCATCAATCGCTAATCACCTCATTCGCGACAAGGACTCACAAACAACCAACCAACCAACAAACAACATTGAGGAAGAAAAATTGGAACCAGGTAGAGACACCCACTATGCTCACGGAACTGATGTCTACCCTTCCCCAAATCACACGTCTTACCACACAGGACGAAATCAATAATTTCAACAGAAACCTGAGGAACGCCATTACCTCAGCGTTGAACAATAATTCGCCAAATAAGGCTCCACCAGGTAAACATAAACACTGGTGGCGACCTGAGATCCTGGACCCTCTCAGGAAGAATGCTCAGAAATTAAACCGACAATTCAAAGCCAACAAATCAGAGGAAAACAAAACCAAATACCGAAAAGCCCGAAACGAGTTCAACCAGAAGGTAGACAAATTGAAGGAAGACAGCTGGAAGACTTACCTGTCAACTTTAACTCACGAAACATTGTTCCAGGCCAAACGGTTTGCATCAGGACGAAAAGCATCACAACTAGTGAACACATTGATCTCAAAAGATGGTAGGACGTGCTCCACCAACACGGAAAAAGCTGACTTACTATTCCACACAACTTGTATAGCAACAGCGCCATGTAGAATGAACCAGTCGGACATTATTCAGATCCCTCTTGAAACAGAAACCCGACCAACAGACCCAGTAATGCCGGATTTCTTCACCTACCTAACAGAAGAGAATCTCAAAGCAGTTGTATCAAGCATACCGCCTCTCAAAGCCCCCGGAGCAGATATGCTCCAGAACTGGGTTTGGAAGAAAGTATGGCCTCGAGTTAAAAATCACGTAAGGTCTTTGTTCCTACAAATTACAGAGACAGGGCTTATTCCACAGGATTGGAAGCATGCACGAACAATAATGATCCCCAAGCCAGGTAAACCTGACTACACGGCAGCCTCGGCATATCGCCCGATATCCTTGTTACTCACCTTAAGCAAAATATACGAGAAACTCTTAACTAAACACCTATCAGAACAAGTCGAAAAAAGAAAACTCCTCAGTGAAGGTCACTACGGTGGTCGACCTAACAAGTCGGGACATGAAGCATTAACTCACCTAGTTTCATGGATCAAGAAAGAATGGAGCAAAGGATGTATAGTCGGCGCTCTCTTTGCTGATGTAAAGTCCGCTTTTCCCTCTGTACATCATCCAAGACTACTAAACATCCTTGAGAAAAAAGGCTTTCATAGTCAGACAATCAACCTCCTCCACAACTTTTTAAACAATCGACATACAACACTCTCATTCAACGGATTTGAATCACAACCATATGAACTGACCCACGGTTTACCTCAAGGTTCACCCCTTTCGCCATTATTATACCTCTTATATAACAACTCACTGCTAGAAATTACAGACAACATCGACACAGCAACTACATTAGGATTCATCGACGACGTGGTGCTCCTAACCACGGCGCCGGACAGACATCAATTGAAATCTCGAATGCAGACACTGGCGTTCAGACAAAACGAGTGGGCCAAAGACCACGGCGCCATTTTTGACGTCAAAAAAACATTCTGGGTTATCTTTAATCCGAAAGACACTGAAGAACCACCTACAATAAACTTTGTTGATAGGAAGAACATCCTACCGGAAAGGAAGGCAAAATGGCTGGGCATTGAAATTGACGATAAACTTACCTTTTCACAGCACCGAAATGCAGTCATCGCAAAAGGCCGGCAGCGCGCAGGTTTCCTCACAACACTGTCAAAATCTGAGTGGGGCATATCCCCCAAGCTCATGAACATCCTAATCACGACAACGATCCACACCGCGCTGGACTATGGCGTGGCAGCGTGGATGTCTTTTGAGCCGCAAGATTACTTCATCAAGAACCTCAGCACGATTGACAACACATGTGCCAGAGCAGCACTCGGAGCATTACCCTCAACACCAACCATTTTCCTGACTCACGACTCGAACCTCACACCGCCGAAGATCAGGTTACAAAGTAAAATCCTGAATTTCATGGCAAACGCACTAACAAAACCCAAACATTCTCCTATCTACAGGTTTGTCAAGCAGGCGCAAAACTCAAAACCAAGAAGTCACCACAACCCTTTCCATCGTTTCTTTCAACACCCAGTTAGTGAGGAATTGGCGGAGTACATTCAGCAAATACCGTTAGACCCAACAGATATCCTAACACGACCCTCCAACTATACCACCATCATTCAAGAAAGCGAAAGTCTGGCAAAAAGAGAAGCCAATAGTCTCTCTTCTACATTAGAACACGTAGTAATATTTACTGACGGTTCTAGAATACCAACGTGCACCACAGCAGCTGCTGCGTGGTGCAAGAACACTAACAAATACCTATCCAAGCATCTAGGTACAGCACGCACCCACGGTATCTACCAGGCAGAATATCGGGGGGTTCAACTGGGCCTATCGATGGCCCTTCACACGGCATCAATACACACTCGACGTACAACAATACTGCTAGACAACCAGAGCGTCATTCTGGATCTCCGATCGAACAAATTACCAATCACAACATTAGACGATCGAAAGGAAACCTACAAGTTGATGATGTACCTACACAAGTCTTTCCCCGATATGCGCATCACTATTAGGTGGTGCCCAGGTCATGCGGGGGTCCATGGTAACAAAATTGTGGATAAGTTCGCAAACAGCAAAGCTAACACTAAATTACCCAGCACTTTTCAGCCCAGCCCAAACGCCTCAAGCTTCATTACGGCCATTAAGGAATGGCGAACCAAAAACTCCGAGATAATCAAAGCCGACGACCTCAAAAGATTAGGACACAAACCTCAACAGAAGAAACACCTCAAGTACTTATCAGACCTTAAAAAACACTCAATCACGGCCATCACACAACTCAGGTCAGGCCATATCCCACTTAACCATTACTTAACTAAATTCGGACAGCGTGGAGATCCCAGCTGTGAATGCCAGGAAGGCATAGAAACGGTGGAACACTTCCTTCTTACATGCAACAGATTTGAGCAAGAACGAAAGAAACTTGAAGAAAACCTCAAAGAACTAAACTTACCAATAAATACATCAATACTTAACAAACCGGTGGCTTTTGAAGCCATAGCTCAATACTGTGACAGCACCTGGAGGTTGAAAAACCGATGGAGTTGGGCAAAAATTGCAGTCGAAAAAATGCCAGACCATAGGCAACCACCCCAGGATTAGTATCCTTTATCTTCCCTATTTTAAACACATCCTTTAGCGCAACAAAATGTCATACCAAATCCTCCATATTGTATACTAGTTGAAACAGCCAACGGCAACCTTTCCCCCTGACACAGCCAGAGGGGGTTTTACCGGTGCTGGAAATTATGCAGTGTCTAATAGCCTAACGGCTCTAAAGACACTTACAGCCATTCCGATATTGCTTGTCGCACCCTTTTGAAAAGAAAAAGTTTGTGAGCTCGAAACCTAAGTTTTAACCGGTTAAAACCTGAAGCTTGGCTGTATTGCCTTGAATTACAGCTGAGTTTGAAGTTTTATCGAGTAAAAACTTAGGTTTCAACTTTTTCTTTTTCAAAACGGAGCGACAAGCAATATCGGAATGGCTGTAAAGCAATAAATTAAAAAAAAAAAAAAAATGGGTTTGAAGCGACGCGGCCCCGAGCCCCGATCGAACGGGGTGATACAGGTTGTGACTTGCAAGCTGGCTTCAAGTGACTGTGACAGTTCACTCACCATTTTCATTTTTTGATCATCAAGACCATCAACCACCGAGCAAGACCAGCACTGACAAGAACCAACCACTCTGATCGCAACCTCTAACCTCAATTCAAACTCAAGTACGCTGAAGTTGATTCTCGATTCGATACCCAATTCTTCAAACTACTGGCCTTACTCGATTCTGGATACCCTTTCAAAATACGACTCAACACTTTTCGATCACGAACTTTAGTTTAGGTGAAAACCACTAAAGATAACAGATGTCTTCGCATTCAGCGGGATCTGATCTAGATCAGTCAGTCCTCAAAATAACACATCTTCCTTCCAACGTTCTATTCTCATATGCCTGCAATTAATCAAAAACAGATAGAATGGTGCTTACTTACTTGCAGCTTATCTTACCTTTCCTTCTTGTTTTGATTAGACAGATTGAACAACTCAAAAGATGTGAAACGATCAGTGAAGCACAAGTCAAAGAACTTTGTTTAAAAGCAAGAGAGATTTTAGTAGAAGAAGCCAATGTTCAATGGATAGATTCACCCGTCACGGTACGCCTCAAGCAATCATCCTTCTCAAAACATTTACTCTTTCTTAGTGATCCTAGAGTGAGGATTATCAAAAGACAGATCTAGTGACTTGTCAAGCCCCCTCGTCTCGAAAAATAAAACAGATCTTCCATCACTTCGCCTGACTCAATTTACCTATCGCACCTTTCGTTTCGGAAGTCAATTGTCTAATGGTGATCTTTATATTACAATTCAATTGTGAACCTGTTAGATATGTGGTGATATTCACGGTCAATTCATGGATCTCAAAGAACTCTTTCGGGTGGGCGGTTGGTGTCCAGATACAAACTATCTTTTTATGGGTTGGTACTTTTTTTTCTTCTTCGACCAATCATCTCACATCAATCGATTTCCCTGAAATCTTGAGTTGACAATTTCGTTTTTTCTTCTTCTGGTGAATTCACAAAACAAGGTGATTTTGTTGATCGAGGGTTTTATTCAGTTGAAACTTTTTTACTTCTTTTAGCATTCAAAGTAAGATATCCAGATCGAATCACACTTATCAGAGGTAATCATGAATCACGTCAGATCACTCAAGTCTATGGTTTTTATGATGAATGTATGAGGAAATATGGTTCTACTTCAGTTTGGAGATATTGTTGTGAAGTGTTTGATTATTTAAGTTTAGGTGCATTAGTAGATGGTAGAGTGTTTTGTGTGCATGGTGGATTGAGTCCTAATGTACATCAAATTGATCAGGTATGCAGAATTGATTTCCGTAGTTTTTTTCCTTCTGACACCTCAGATTCAACATATAGCTTACAATTTTTGGCTGCTTTGTTTTGACATGAATGATGATGGGGCATTTAAGATTAAATTGATAGATAGGAAACAGGAAGTTCCTCATGATGGCGCAATGTGTGATTTACTTTGGTCAGATCCGGATGATATAGATGGATGGGGAGTAAGTCCTAGAGGAGCAGGTTATTTATTTGGTGGAGATATTGTAAAGGCATTTAGTCATGAAAACGATTTAGATTTAATTGCAAGGGCTCATCAGTTAGTTATGGAAGGTTATAAGCTAATGTTTGATGATTGTCTTGTCACCGTTTGGAGCGCTCCAAATTATTGTTATCGGTAAGTTAAGCTTTCCTTGGTTCAAGAGGCGGAAAGTGAATCATGAAGATAAGAACTGATCAACTTGCTATTCTGTGACATTTATTTTTCATGATATGATATTTTTATAGTTGTGGAAATGTAGCATCTATACTTCAACTTGATGACCAGCTTAATTCAACTTATAAAGTCTTTGATGCAGCACCTCAAGATTCAAAAAGCGTACCAGCCAAAACAGCTAGTTTGAATTACTTTCTGTAACCTTAGCAAAAGAAAAATATAGAGAACAAAACATATGGATCTTTGTTTTTTTTGTACTGTTGATTTGATTTGTGTGGTGTTGTGTGTGTTTTTATGAGTGTGTGGTATCATTAAATATACAAAAATTCCTTAAAGGATAAAAATCAATCAAGGATAGCTTTCATTTGTTTTCCTCAAGAGCTTTTGCTATTCATGATCGTGAAGGGTATTTATTGTGTGGGGAGTGTCCTACTGTTTTGTTCAGGTTGTTGGCCAACTGTACATCAAGCTTTGAACAGTTCTTTCGCATTTGCCAAGCATCATCCAGTCAGACCTCATTTTATCTCTCGTGTCCATTCAATTGACCAAGAGTCATCGATACCTTTCCCATTCTTCAGATCATATGTCGAAGTAAAGAAGCCATCCCACATGAAACTACCATACTACTGTGAATATGTAGCAGAAGATAAGAATTCCAATTAATTATTTCAACCAGATACCCAAAACAAAAAGTATATATGTATGTACACCACCATTAAATAATCATACAACAATTTAATCGCAAGAATGAAACACAAAAGACTATCAAAGTTAGAAATTCAAAAAAAGGAAAATTAAGTATATGGGAAAAAAATCTTTTTACAACAACGTTCTAACCAAATGAGATTCTGATAAAATCAAATGAATCAATTATTAAAGAAAGCAAAAACAGATGAAGTGAATGGTTAGAACCACGAAGGATGACGATGATGAGAGTAAGAAGATCAAGAACAGAAATTAAAAATCTTTTTACAACAACGTTTTAACCAAATGATGTTCTGACAAAATCGAATGAGTAATTTATTAAAGAAAGACAAAGACGAAGTGAATTGTAAGAACCGCGATTCCGAGAGGATGATGATAGGAGAGGAAGATCGAGAACAAAATTATGTTCTTCAATGGTTTAAAAGTTGATTTGTTTTTATCTCTTGAATCATCAGTTTAAAGAAAATAGTTGATTAACACAAGCTTTTTTCCGTTCGATTGTGTTGAAAATGTCATGGAGGTTGAATTGAAGATGACGTGAGTGTTGAAAGAGAATCATGTTTCAACGATTACCACGTTCATTAAGATAATCTTCCCATTTAAGTTCATAATAAACTTGATGTTTAGACAAAAAATAAAGCTAAAGAAAAAGAAAAAGGAAAAGATCGATGAGAAAGACTACTACTTTATGAATCCCTTGATGATATATAAGATAAGAAAAAACTTCATACTAACTTGAATAAGAGCCATCACCATCCAACCCATAGCCATCACACCAACTTGAGCCCAAGCAAAATAATCACAAACTGTCATAGCAGCTTGTACAGCAGAACTTGTACCATTCTTGGTTAATGTTTGTTTTGATTTGGTATTGAAAGTCGGATCTACTGGAAAATGATAAACTTTCATACATTGTGAAGTTGAGACTTCATGTTTTGATGATGAAAGGATGATGACTCCTAATGACATGATAAAAAGAATGGCTAAGATATACATGGTAAAGTTTTTACTATAGAAATTTAATAGAATCGATTTGATTAGTTTCTTTGAAGAAAAAAAAATACGGTTTGGTTCTAAGATTTAAATGTGAAATTGATCAAAGACTTACAAATGTCGAAAATATTGAACTCGATTTGTTTCAACACAAACAATGCTAAAATCGAAAAAACTCATAATGGACTTCAGTAATCGAATCTCAAGACCTTGACCATTTCATTTTCATATCCACCTAACCTAAAAACCAAGATTTATGAAAGAAAACCTTACCCATAGATATGTAGTAGAGCCACAATGGCATATAATGCTCCAAATGCATAAGCAGCAATGATAGGTTGAACGAGTGCAAGGACTAAATCAAAAGAAAATCAGATTAATTGATTGGATTTGATGTTTTGTAAGATTGATTTTATTGAAACTTACTCTTGGGACCAACGAATGACATACAAGATGAAAAAGCAGCTAGAAAGCAATTTAAATAAAGAATTGACATCTGTTCAAGAAATCAAAAAATCAATTATTTCAATCTCTTTTTGTAAATGAACGCAAGGAAGGATAAGGATGATGATGATGATGGTAAACTTACAATACCCCCTTGAAACAAAGGCACAGCTAAACAACAAGTCCTGCCTTGTTTGTAAAAGTCACGAATATCTGAGACCATGATTGTAGAGGTATTTGATTTGATGATTTGAATGAAATGTAAACAACTTGAGATTTTGATGAGGATTTATGTAAAGGAATCAAATGAATTGATTACGATTGATAGAGGGTTTGAAGCGACTATGGTTGATTGGTTGAACTTGAGGGTTTGAGATTTGTTTCGAAAGACAAAGGCCGAGTTGAAAGCTTGTATTGATAGACACTAAGGTATACAAGATCAAAGTTAAAGGGTGGTGTTCTGGTAATCGATGCCACGGTATATCAGATCCCTTGATGATTTCACCGCATGTCTCTGTTCAAGAATGTTGAGAAAGAAGTGCTGATATGGAAGTTGACGTATATGCTGAAGTATGATGAGTCCTGATGATTCGCTGCAGTATTATGAAAAGAGCTCGAATGGCGTGATTGAGGAAAAGCGAACTGGTTGTATTTAATGATATGCACAATATGTACTTCAGAGCTCTCTAGACTCTCACGCTCTTCATAGACATCCTTCTGTAAACGTGGGAATAAACTCAATCAATTTGAAATTTTTATTTACTCCGAGTCTTGAGGAGATTGTAAAAAACCAAAACTCTTGACCTATCGACTTGAAGGAAATGATGAACGATCTGATCTTGGGATGCGAAGGGATTCAAAAACGCAACAAAGACCATAACAAATCAGGTGAAGGAGACCGATAAGGGCTGACAAGGGGAAGTGAGATCTGGATTTACCTAGAATCTCACCGAAGTGAGCAATTTGGTACAATCTCCTTCGCTACCGTTCATCATTTCCAAAGACCATCAACATCCACCAGCGCAACTTCAACTTCTGGGCTCATGTATGGACGTGAACGATGTGTGTTTCCGTCCTGAACAAATCGTCGTCATCTGATTCAATCCCTTTAATGATGGGATGTCACTTCTTGAATCTCAATGTGAATCTGCATATCAAAAAGAAGTCTATGCTATCATCAGCTAGCAACAAGCAGCTGGGCTACATGGTACTGCTGCCTTTGTAGAGCCAAGAGTATGTGTTTCGGACCAAGAAGTTGACTTTCTTTGCTTTGCGACCAACCTCGGCGTGTTTGTTTACCAAGGGGTGTTGGGCTCGAAAGGCTGATCGATATCTGGTCAACAGGCTCGCATTTGGTTTCAGAGGCTGGTGAACCGATCCTCGTCCAAACGGACCATGATAAGCCGCGCTTCGTTGGGCCAGCACGCCCGAGATCTAGGACCCAAGATGATGTTTACTTGATCCGGATGTTGTTTGAGAGCAACGCGTTATGGAGCCCAAAGATTGTAACAAGCTTCACAAGGGGATTGCTTCAGTGACACCCAGATATTTCACTTTGACAACTTTCTAAAAACTTTTGACATCAAAGCCAGGAGACCAACAGATTAACCTAAACAAAACAATCAAAAGTTGTCAAAGCAAACTTGAGCAACATCTTATCAGCTCAAACATCAATCACATCAAATATATTCCTCAATCTTTGGTTTTCTTGTCTGAGGCCTACAAGCCCCTAAGGCCAATTATGTTCAACACGAGTCGCGTTGAAGTTGGCCCCTGGGTTTAAGCGCGTTCTCTTGAGGTTTTATGGTGGGTGAGCTTGGTTCCCATTGAGATGAACATGAACCCCCTTCACCCAATCCATCTCTGTGTGATGGCAATTGGGAACTTCCATTGCGGACACACATTGACATGCTCAACCTGTGATGGTCCTTGCGGCACAAAAATCAGTGGTTTATGGGGCTTGTAATGGATGTCCTTTGAGAAGACATTGTGATGCTTTGTAAATTGAACAAACATTACAACCCAAAAAAAAGTAGATGACTGAATTGGATTGTTCAAAGAAGACAAGTAGAGTGAAATTGGTTGGATAAAGAAATAGAAGGGGGAGACAGGAGAAACCACACAACATGAGTTCAAAACCTCAAGAGTGTGTGTCAACCCAGGGGCCAACTTCAACATGACTTGTGTTTAACCCATTTGGCCTCAGGGGCTTGGGCAAATGGTGTGGAGTCACATTGTGGCATTGATGCACCATCTCACCTCAATTTGAGCTGTACTGCATGGGAGAAACATCCAAAACATTCATTGCATCAACTGAAGCAACACCGGAACCGCTCTGTAACACAACAGATTGTAACCCAATTTTGTTGTGGTGCAGTGGCTGCGCTATGTACCACGGTGCAGACAAATCACTACCTGCTATAGAAATCTCTGTGGGTATTGCAGCGGAGACATCACTATGATTTCCACTAGGTAGCGCAACATGAGAGAAGCTGCCATATGGTGTGCTAAACCACTATACAGCGCATATGAGGTAAGACAAATGAAAAAAGAGCTGTATTTGCAGATCAAAAGAAAAAAATACAAAGCCCAAGGCCAGAAGGGTTACTACCTTTGCTAAAAAGCTTGCCCGGTTCGATCGCGAACAAGAGACAAGAGAGGTCGAATTTGGCCGCAGCCTGCTGCGAGGCCGCTGCGCAACTCGTCAAGATCCCAAATTTGGCCGATCACAAATTCTAAGAGATCGACTGCACCTGTGGATCTCTGACTTCAACCAATTCTGAGACACATTATGACTATATTCACAGCATGTCTGGAGCTTGGTATGTCAAGATCAACCATACAGTCGAGTGCAGCTCTAATTCGACGCTATTCATAATGGAAATCACCGCCTATTCCAGAGTTCTCCTGGTGTAATGGTTTGAAGTAGTGGTTGTGATCACGCTCTCGATTCAATCGGTAGTAGTGTGTTCAAGCCTTTATGGACTTTTGTGCTTTTTTGTTTTGGCTTCATGAGATAAAAAAGTACAAGTCAAAAAGGACAACACCTTTTTTTGAAAATCTTTTGTTCTTCGTGCTCAGTCAAGAGCTCAAATGAGGTCACCATAGGATACTGACACATGTCCAAGATGCCTTGAATTAATTTCGAAATTTTAGCAAAAAAGTTCACGCAATTGGCCTTGATCCCATGCTGGCAAGACCACTAACGTTGGCGGCTCACGCCACATCAAGCCGTTCGACTAAGATCACTTTCTGTAGTCTTGATTAAAGCAAATCTTTGTAGCACCCGCAGCGCGATAGAAGTCGCATAGAAGTGTGAGCATGAATTCATCATGATGAGGTAGATATTTGTGCTTTATGATAGATCTCAACATATCCCAAAGTCAGAGATCCACAGGTGAAGTCGATCTCTTTCAGAATTTGCGATCGGCCAAATTTGGGATCTTGACGAGTTGCGCAGCGGCCTCGCAGCAGGCTGCGGCCAAATTCGACCTCTCTTGTCTCTTGTTCGCGATTGAACCGGGCAAGCTTTTTAGAAAAGGTAGTACACTGTGGTTTGCTCCTCTACAAGAAAATATGTCTTCTGGGATTGTGGTGCACAGCCTCTGCTATATTTCAGAGGTTATTGTGCATGTAAAAATCACTACATACACAATATCTCTGCTCCCACTATAGGCAGTGGAGTGGTTCTGGTCTTGACTGCAGGACCTAAATTAAAAAAACTGACCCCAACAGTAAGTATACTATATTATACAAATCCCTACAAGCTTCCTGCAATCACCTAACAATCTCTTCTCAATACACAATCAGATTGAATCCTGGTATGTACTTGATCTAAGTTTTTCTTAACCCCCAGTAACCCCGCCCTCAAACAGCTCAAACACTCTGTAGGTTTTCCTTCTTAATTTCTTTTGATTTGCTTTACCTCTTCTTTCTCATTTAGTCACCTTTCCAAAACACAGATTCATAGCTAATAGACCTATTTTTTCATAGACTCATTTTTTTATCCTTCCTCAGGGTTTGGTCTGTACAATCCAGCTATGGCTCAAGCACTTTATCCTGTAACAGAATGCTTAGTTAAGTTTGAACTAGTCACTCTACTTCTTACTTGTACTTGTTTAGTTGGTCTAATAATCAATTAAGCAATTCCACATTTTCAAAAAAACCCAGTGGTGTACAACAGTTACTTTTTGGTTGATGTGCCTGCTACAATGTTGATGCTCTTGTCATTGACCTGTCGATCCAGTCAGAATATCCTAAAGAGAGTTAAGGAGGTGTTTATTTTTTTCAACCACTTTCCAATCTCAATTGATATTTTATCATATCTGACAACTATTCATAATTGTTCACCTTACCCTTTCAAATCCTTCAACTTAACCCTTCTTTCATTGATGCCTGATGGCATCAAGGTAATCTATATACACCCCTGGATATAGGTATGTATCACACAGTGGATTGATTGACTGAATAATGAACTGATATTGTGGAAAAGATTTTGAAAAGCTATCTTATGTTTTTGTCCCGGTGCATGTATCAGGGCTTGTGCTATTAGTATGAGGTGGCAGTGCACGCCAGACATGCCCTTATTAGAAAAAGCACGCCCAGGCTTACCTCAAGTGCGGCTGGTCGCGCTTGTAGCCAACAGTTTGCCCATCACCCGACTCATCTCACTCATTGTCTTTTAATCATAGAAGTGCTTCAGTTTTGTATCAAAAGCATAAACATAATCATTCCCTCCCACCAATCAGCAATCAGTTGATCTTATAAATAACAACCTTAATAAACCTATCAAACACATAAACAACATTTTTTTTGACTTTACTCCTTTTTTGGGAATAAAAGATACACACATTCATCTCTACTACATATGAAAACTCAAAAACGATCAAGATGAAGAAGAACAAGAAATTGATAGGATAAGATCTTTTTTTTATTTTGACACTTTTTTTATCGAAAAAACAACAACAACAACAACAACACTTAAAACGACAACAACAACCACAAAATACAATTTCAAACCTTTCAACCTTGAAGCCAATTCCATCAATTTTGATCTGTTGCAGGTGGTGAAGGTAGAACATGCATAAGTTCAAAGATAGACTCTAAAGCTGGATTACCACCTAATCTAGTGACTTCTTCTATTGCTTGTTCTTCAAGACATATCAATACTCCACGAGTATATTCTAATGATTTGGTTCGATCTTTCATATATGAGACTGCAAAGGCTTTGGTACCAATGTCCGTTGGTTTTTGCCGTAAGATATCTGAGAATCCAATGAAATATAATTTAGTAAGATGAAAGAAAGTAGCGGGTGAATGGAAAAGGCTCAACTCATCAATTGATGATTCGTACTATCAGACCTAATCGAATGTACAATTGGAAAACTGAATTTCCCTTCGGTGAGATCCTCACAGAACCCTTTGTTTTTCGTGTACTGCGTTTTAGATTTTGCAAAAATGTGTCAGTCTCGATTCGGTGAGTTAAGAATATTGGTGGACACGGGAAACAAAAAATAAACACCCACAACAGAGGAAAGGTTTAAAAGATCATCTCTGATTTGAAAGATGATCCCAACGAGATTCACCAATGGTAAGTAATCACTGAAGAGACATCAGAGACCAGGTCAGTCCTCCTCCAGCTTCATATCTGGGGCGAAATTCCCTTACGGGGTCTCAGGTATCGGTGAAAGAGCGATCATCAACTTGATAGCGATCCGAAAGAGTCCCCCGGTTTCTGGTAGATAGAAAGGATGAATTAGTATGGATGTTTCAGGTTAAGAAATGCAGAAAAGTGACATATAGAATATACTCAACTGTTGTTGACCATCTGAAGATACTCCTCTTCAGTAGGACATGTCAACGAGTCTCTCCAATACAAATCCATACCTTGTCCACGGTGAAGTTGAAGTAATTCATCTAAATTGGACCCAGAAAGGCTCTTTCTGAGTCCAATTTTCCAGAGATGTAGAGACAAAAACAGACAAACCGTTAACAAGGCTCCAAAGATCGGTCGTCGCGTCAGACCTAAGACACGGTTTCAATTTTGTAAGTTCCTGATAGGCCAAGAAGTACACATAGCTGAAATTTAATGGCGAGCGAAAAAAATCAGATATGAATTCAAAAGAAAGGCTTTTGGAGTTTGGAGTTTGGAGTTTAGACTTACTTGGCTGTATTGATAGTTTGTGGTATGCCATAAATCTTATGGGTCACTTTGATAATCATAAAGAGAGAAAACGGGACAAAAAAGATCGACTGAGTAACAGGAGAGAAACATAGAGCTGTAGACTGTTTCAAACCTGGAACGCCTCTTCTGAGATCGGAATCATCTTCGACATCATCCATACTGCTCAAAAAATTCAGGATCAGATTTATCGAAAATCAGGGTGTGATGAAAGTAGTACGCACAGAAGACTAGCGGTATGAAGCTGCCCAACGATCTTCTTTATGATCTCGAGTGCAGGTCGGGGGACTTGAAGCCAATGATTGAATGCATCGATCATCATTGAGCGAATTTCTTTTCCAGGGATGTTAGTAAGGTATGTGTAAGGTTCGAGTAAGATCTGTTGTCAAAAAATGAAACAAGATGATGAGGAAGATTCTGGTCATGATATTCATCTCAAGGGATCGATACTACAAATGGCAGTTTGATGAGAAGCAGACCTGTTCATTGGATTCCGGCCAAATATCGAGAGCTTCAAGACGTTGTAAGAAGTTACCATATCGATTCGAGATGTTGAATTTGGTATCTGAAGATGATGATGAGGATGATGATGATGATGAAGATGACAAGTTATGGTGTTCAACTTTATCATCAACTTTACCATTTGTTGAAGGTACAGGTTTCATGATGGACGATGAGGATGCAATCAAAAGGTAAACAGCAAGCTATGTCTGTATGTAATCTTATGTATGTAATTCTAAACCTTTTCAGTGGTGAAATAGTATGAATTCTGAAGGATTCCTGATGATCAAGAAGTCGATCAGATTTAGATGAGAAGTTGATATGTAAGATGAAATATCAGAGTTAGAACGATATAAAAAAGTGAAAAGAAGTTATAAATCTAATTCAAGTGGGCATCCAGTTCGACTGTCAAGGTGTTTTTAAAGTATATCGTTATGAGATGAGTTGATAAAATGAAGAAGCCGATGTGGTTTTTAGAATTCGATCGCATTCGATGGTCAAGATCCAGAAATAACTCACCGAATGTACCGATCGATGGAGACAAAATAAATTCAAAATTTCACGGTAACGGGACGATTCTATCTAGAATTCTACACACACACACACAACCTTTACCGACCTTTCAACTTTCGATGGCTGAGTAAAAATTGGGAGATTTTGGATTCAAGCGGTCGTTTTTAAAAATCAGCACTGAAGCAGGTTGTCTGAACCTCGATCCATACTTTCACTGCAAAGATAACATACAATCTGATTCAATCGCCGATTCATAGCTGCACATACAACATACACTTTATCTCGCTTGTTTGTACAGTCAATTCAGCAAAGCTTGTCACAAAATCCCCGCCAATTTGTGGGGTTTTGAGGGCAACTTCAAGCGTGTGGGACAGGAACGAGGATACGTGAGCGCGGGATGAGGCAAGATCTTTGCCAAGTTTGCCTCGATGCGATGTCTGAAGAGATCGCTCTTGTTCAATAAAGAACCATGAGTCTTCGCCTCGTACGTATTTCTCTTACCAACGAACTCGTATCCACTTGAGAAAGAGTGGAGAAACCCGATAAGCAGAGAAACATGACACCAGCACTACATTAGGGGCTCTCAAACCTGACCCGGTTTTCAAAACCCAGTGACCCAGTTGACTTTTTGGCAGTAACTTTGTATATAAATTTGAAATTTATTGACAGCTCCCAGCCAAAAAGTCAACTGGTCAACTGGTTTTTTGGGAAGTCTGGCAAGCTTGTGAAGCTCAGATCCT